AGTCGTGGCTGACTCTTTAGAAAAAATATCTCTTTGGATTTGAGACTTTAGTCTTTGCAACTTTACAGATCTTCTTTATGCACCAAGAGCTTGTAACACTCCAAAGAGAAAGGAAAAATTGAAATCGCATCATATGACCCCTTTAAGATTTTTTGAATGCCTGCTAAAACACTAGCACAGCACAGTTTGTTTTGTTTTGGATGCTTTTGTCTTCGCTATGCTTAACCAGCTAGACCTCCCTAGTCACCCAGCTTCACAACAAAGATTGTGATAGCTGTCCAGCCAGTTGCTACCAAATTAACTGCATGTAAATTCCAAGCCTAAATTTATCTATTCCAAAAAAATAAAAAAATAAGATCACCTTCTAAAATATAGCACGTAGAATTGCTACTAGCATGTGTTTAGGGTGACAAAAGCAGCCCTTTAAAGGAACATGATGAGCAGAACTGATGGTGGTGAGACTCCTGTCCTCACATTTTCAAATCAAGTCAATTCAAGTCACCTTTATTTATATAGCGCTTTATACAATACAGATTGTGTTAAAGCAGCTTTACAGTGTTAAACAGGAAAAACGTGTGCTGATAATTCAAGAGGACAATAGAAAACAGTCAGTTCTCTTCCAGTAGTGTCTGAGTAGTCAAGTAGCCAAAGGCAACAGTGGCAAAGAACCAAAACTCCATCAGTGACAGAAATAGAGAAAAAATAAACCTTGGGAGAAACCAGGCTCAGTCGGGGTCCAGTTCTCCTCTGACCAGAAGAAACCAGCATGGTGTGGTTTAATTCCAGGCTGCAACGCACGTCAGATTGAGCAGAGGACTCGTCTGGTTCTTGTGGTTTTGTGCCGATGGCTGACGAGGTTTTCACAGGGGATCTGTCTCTAGTTGACATGGTCTCCGCTGACATTCAGGGCTGTAGAGGTCGTCTCTAGGTGCTGATCCACCATCTGGGCTGGTTTGGGTGGCTATGGTGACCTCGGAATAAGAATAAAACAGACTAATATTAGTGTAGATGTCATTCTTCTTACGATGTCATAAGTATATCTGGTGTTATGGGACGTGTTCCCAGTTCCGGTTGACCTAATTGAATTATAGAAATGTGATAGTGTGTTATGCATATGCCAGGTTAAAGAGATGGGTCTTTAATCTAGATTTAAACTGACAGAGTGTGTCTGCCTCCAAAATAATGCTAGGTAGACTGTTCCAGAGTTTGGGCGCAGTG